TTGTTCAAATCTCTGAACTTTGGATTTACAATAGGATGCAAAGCCGGTTTGCTGTCAGAGGCTGAGGCAGGATCTGAGCAAAAACAGCAAACCTGCAGCTCTCAAAGTGCATAGGAGAAGTTGCAGTGGAGGAATCTGTCTGTGCTGGCAGACGTGATGCCTCTGGGACTGGTGAAACCTTATCTGTGTCTCAACACTGCTCAGTCACTGAATGCCTCCTTGGAGGGGATACAGCAGCACTGGTGTCACGTCCTGTAGATGTCTCAGATCTTCTGAGGAGCTTGGAGCAGGTGGCACCTGCAGGTCTTTGCATCCAAGATGTCCTGAGCTTCAAGAAGGAGCCTCCAGCTGAAGAGTGCTGTGGATCTGAGCTGTGCTTCACCTGTTGGATGTGTCCTCTGGACTTGGGAAGAGTTCCTGGATGTCACAGAAATGGTCCCCCTTGAGCAGTGCCCTGCAGTTGTAAATGTCCCTGCCTGCTGAGTTCCTGCAGAGCTGGAGATGCCCTGCACAGCCTGCAGGGACTCTGCCACATCAGCGTGGCAGAAGGGAGCAGAGGGAGGTGTCAGGCTGAGGCAGTGCTGGGGGAGTGTTTTCAGGTGATTTGCAGGCTATCAGTGGGATAGTCAAGCAACTGAGGCTCCAGGATCCAGTACTGGAGTCCTGACCCCAACATGGAATAAGAAGTCTTGGAGAATAAGAAGATCTGGAGTCCAGGAAAACCACCTGTGATCAATGAACTGAGACAAAAACTCTGATTTCAAACTTCCTCATATTTTCCAAAACAGTCACGGCAGATGCTGTGGGGAAGGCGTAGGGGATGGATGGCACCAGAGCAGCATTTGGATTCATCCGTTGTGCCAATGCAAGACCACAAACTGTTTTCTGTGTTTGTGTAATTAAGGCAGGGTTAGTTTGTGATGGTTCTCAACCAGGTTTGTAAAATACTCAGACCCCAGACCTATTTGCTGTTTGCAAAGTTAGTTTAGTTTCTTACCAGACAGCTTCTAAGGGGTGGGGAAGGAAGGAGCAGGCTGTGATGATGGTTTGGGGTTTGTTGCAGTTAGGTGGTCATTCAAGCAGCAATTTTATATTGAGAAAATGGTATTTTAAAAGAAAACAGGAGATATTTGTGTAACGTTGACTTTTTTCCACTCATTTGTCTTCATCTTCACTTTAGACTGTGCATCCCTCTCTAGTATTGTAGGAAAAAACAGAAGGGAAGAATTTCCTGACTTTAAAATAAGACCCATGTGCTCTTCCAGGAGTGACATGTCCCCAGTCAGGGATATCTGTGCTGGCAGACTGAACCAGGTGTATTTGTCTTTCTGGAGAGACATTTGGCTCCAAAGTCTGGAAACTCCCCTTCAGTGCCCCCTGAGCTGTGTTATCAGCTGTGAAATAGCCAGTGTTGCTCTTTGGTTCTCTTCATGTCTTGGCCATGAATGGGGCCCAATTCCATTTGCCAAACATTTCAGCTTGCTGGCCCATTTCTACAGACATCACTTCTGGTACTTGATTTGCATTTTTTATTATTATTTTCCATGCTGCATATTTGAGTGTGCTCCTTAAAATCACTTGGAAGGGCTTAACTTCCCTATACCCCAGACTATATTTTGAATTAATAGTGTAAAAAGTGCTGATAGAACCTTTGCCTTTTTGTGAATCAGTTTTACTTACATCTTCAAAAGTTGGGATTATTTAAGTGCATTTGTGCTGTCTTTGCATCTTTAATGGCATTTGTCAACACCAGCTTGTAATTGTGCAGAAATCACATGGATTTTTTTAATCATTTAAAATGTTGTGTTAAGCCATGTCTTCATCACATGCAGGGTCTGATGGTCACCATCTTCCCATAAAGTCATTTTTGGAGACACCTGTTTCCCCCCAGCCTCTGTAAAGCTCAGGGCATCACTGATATTTTGGCTGCCTGAAACTTAAAAATTTCCCAGTGTCTGCAATGACCTTGTCACTGGTGATGCTCTTGATCTCTCCAGCTCTTCCAGCACCTCATTTTTGAAGCTTTGGAGCTTTTACCTCACATCTTAAATTGGATGCAGGCTGTTGGAAAACAAACCCCTGGTTTACCTGGAATTTATTGAAATAATTTCATCAATAAATGGTGGTCATGGAGTTTGCAGGTTGTTCTGTAGTGCAGTTTTATATTTCTATGGACAAAATGGTCCTTTCCTCCTTAAACACAAATGTGAAAACATCCAGTGAATATTACTTCTAAGAAACTGGATTGCTTTTAAGTTGGTGTTATTCTTCAGAGCAGTCTGGGGTTAAAAAAGCAGAGCAAGTTTTAAAGAAATAAGCTTTCAGTGTATTGTTTTCATTGGAAATGTTCAATTTCTGCTTTGGAAATCTTAATGTATATTTTTCAGATATCCTGAATTTGTGTCTTTGTCTTGTGAGGAACTTGAGAGAAATGAATACAGACAAATTATTTCATAAAACATTTGAAATGGCTGTGGATTGACAGTTAAATCTGGAATAGTGAATACAGTCAATTTTCCCCTTTGTTCTGTCAGCAGTCACTTGTACTCTAAATGTCTATTTAATTTTTTAAGTAGATTAACGGGAAATGTTTGCATTATTTGATTATTGAATTTACTGTCCCAAATAATGGCTCTTTTCCTAAAATATTTATGGGATCTTGAAAATGTTTTTCCAGAAGGGAAAAATGCTAAAAATGAATAGGGAACATATTTTGAGTTATTTGTAGTACATGTACATAATGCCTCGCCTGAAATCACTGTACACTTGCCTTTTGGTGGGGAGAAAAAGCAGTTTGTCATCTGTACTGCCTTCCAAAATTAGATTCAGATAATCCCACCTTTTGGAGTAAATGAGCAGCAGATTGGTCTTAAAAATGAAATTCAAGCTCTTGGTAAGTGATATAAAAAATAAATAAGCTAATATGTGAGCAACAGAGAGCATCTCAGTGATAGATGATAACACAGATTACCTTTGTTGTGTTCATAATTAGGCTGGGCAGGGAAAGGAGAGGGAGAAGGAGGCATTAGGAAATGCTTTTGTTTAGTCCTGTGTGGTTGGGTTGGGTTTGGTTTTTGGTGGGTTTTTTTATTATTTTCTCTTTTTTTTTTTCCCCTGTGCTCTGTGTGTGCATGTGGCTCGCCATGCACGGATGAGGAATTGTATAGGAAATTTGCAGCTGCTCTAGTTATTCAGTAAGATTTGTATAAGCTGGCACAAGGGACAAAATTAGACGAAGTTGAACCAGTGCTGTGCAGTTTATTAGCTAGGCAGCCATAATTTTGACCTTGCTGTGGGTTAAAGGACACAGACCTGAGAAGAAATCTGTTTATCATGTAGGGAATTCATGCCATCCCTGACAGTGTACAGTGAACAAGATGGATGATCTGCCAAATTGGTCCCTCGCATGGGTGAATCAGGGCAAATTTACAGTATGATTCCTTTGCTGCTCCTGATACAGAAATAACATTTCCCAGGGTTTCTGTTCGGTTGTATGATGACCCAGGGTGAGCAGAGAGAAGAAACAGGATTTGTAGGATCCCCTTTACCTTAAAGATTTACATGCACCTCGCTTTCCTTTCTGTCTTCCTCTTTTGCATCTCACATAAAGCACTAAGGAAAAAGTGAGATTTTTAGGTTTGAGAGAGCAGCTTCAAGTGAGTGTGTCAGGGAAGCTCTTGATTGCAGCTTGGGAAAGCTCCCAGGACCCTGAACAACAAACACCATTATCCTCTGCACTCTGCTCCGTGTGGTCCTGACTTTTCCTGTGGCAATATTTCCCTACAGCATTTGGGATCTGTTTCCATGCTGCACAGGCTGCATGCTCTGGAGTGATCTGACAATATTCTGGATAACAAACTCAAAAAGCAGTGAGGTTTGCTGGCAGCCCTTGCCTGACGGGACCTGAGAGTGCTCTGTGGTGGCACGGCAGGGCTCAGAAAATTCTGGGCTCTGCTGGGTTTGGATGAGGTCTGGGCTCCTTGTGCAGCTGAGAGCTCTGCCAGCCTCCTGCAGGCACCCAGGGGTGTGTGAGGCTGGAGTCCATGTCATAAACCCTGGCAAGTAATGGGTGGGAGACAGCAAGGAGGAGGAAGCAGCCCCACAGAAATAGGAAAAGCTGGGGACAGAGAAATCGTGTGCTCCTCATCTCCTGGATGGTTCTTGTAAACCACGTTGCCTATGTGTTGTTGCTTTAAAAAAGGTTCAGCCTGTACCCTCTGATGCCTGGAATCTCTGAATAACCTCAGTCAGTACGTTCTGTGAGAGATAAATTTATTGGGGAAAACAACATTTTGTACAGAACCTATTGTTGTTGGCAAATTAACAGATTGGGAAAGCTTTCTTTTAAACCGAGTGTCACAATAACAGATTTGGGTGTCTCCTGATCCACTCAATATCTTTATGTTGGATCCTCAAACACTTTAATTAATACAACATAATTACAAACTGTATTTTAATCTTGTTATTTCTGGACAAAGAGAATTGCAGAAATGTGATGCGTGTGATAAGAAACAAAATTAAATCAATAATGCTCTCAAGATAGAGAGTTGTGTCACTTGTAGAAAATCCCTCAGAACAAAATAGTGGCTGAGTGAATTTCTTAACAAGTCACAGAAAGAAGTTTAAACCAGTCTATAATGGTAGCTTTAAAACTGTCCTTACATAAAAATGTTGTGACAAGCAAAACTGAGATTTCCTGACCAAAGAAATTGCATGCAAACTTAGAGACTATTGCACTTCAGTTTTTCCTGATTTTTATTTGTATTTGTACATCATGTCTTTATAAGAAATCAGAGACGACTCAAGATAAAATTAGAAAATAATTCTCATTTTTAAAAAGAGGCTTTTTAGTACCCAAGTCATAGCAAGTAGCATTTTGCATACTTAGGCATTTCTTTAAGTAGGTAGAATATAAATGAGGAGGAAAGTTAAATATCCTGCAATCAAAACATTACAATTATGCTAAAGTGAGGACTTTTTTCCTCTCTTTTCAATTACAGAAAGTACTCCAAAGACTTCTGCCAGTTGCAGTCCTGCTCCTGAGTCTCCCATGAGTTCCAGTGAATCAGTGAAAAGCCTGACTGAGTTGGTACAGCAGCCCTGCCCCGCCATAGAGACGAGTAAGGATGGCAAATCCCAGGAATCCAGTGAGCCACCTGCTTCTGAATCCCAATCCACGACCCCTCTGCCACTCTCAGGCCACTCTGCACTCAGCATCCAAGAACTGGTGGCCATGTCCCCTGAGCTGGACACCTATGGCATCACCAAGAGGGTCAAGGAAGTGCTCACGGACAACAATCTTGGTAAATCGCTTTATTCTCATTTCTTGAACAAAATCACGTGTAAGTGTTCATGCTTTTATTGTTAGCTACACTGGATGTGTATGAGAATACCTGGGTTTGACTCTGGCCTAAGGTTTAATTTGCTAAAAAGATACCTAATCTATTTAAACTGGTGGAAAATTCCTTTCAGATTGTCACACTCTACTTCAAATGCCACCACACCCTTGTTCTTCCTAAGCTCTGCTCCTGGCTCAGCCACCAGGTACTGCTCTCACCTCTCAAAACAGGGTCCAGCAGGACCCCCAGAACCCCAGAGCCAGTGAGGTCTCCCCTTGGGAAAGGCTGTTTCCCCCACACTTGCACATTCCAGGCCCATTTTGGGTGAAGTAGAGGAGCCCAGCATGGTTGGAGAGGAAGGTGCACCACAAGCAGGAGCACAGTGTCCCTGCAGAGCTGGGAGGGAAAATCCAGACTCAGCTGAGATTTAGAAGAGCCTGAGATAAGTGTACAGGGCCACTCTGTTCTTCTGTTCAGAGATGTGCAAAGCTGAGGCTGCTTTTGCCTACAGATGGGTTTTTGGCTGTTGATTTCAGTGTCATGACTGTTTTTGGAATAGTCACAGGGAATAACGTGATGTGAGTATGGGAAGTCCACATTAATGCTCTCACTGTGCCTCTAAATCACTGGTTCTTCATGTCTTTAACCCCTGCTTCCCCCACAAGGCTTTGGGAGATGTTTTTGGGATCCTTTGAGGGCTCTGGCAGGAGGGCAGTAAGGCTGTCCCAGTGTTACCTGCTCCTGCTTCTGGGGCTTAGCAAGGGATTCATCCCCCTGCATCAGGTGCTCAGGGGAATGTCTGGTGCTCTCAGAAGTACCAGTTTCTCTTCCTTCACTACAAATAGGGTAAAGTTTAGATTTAGACTGTTACTTATGTGAGAAGACTTTTACCCATATCATCTGAACATGATGACTGTGAAAGTAAAAGCTCCTCTATTTTAGTATGTGAGAAAGCCTTTTTTCAACTAGACACACAATATCAGGTTATTTTCTTAAAATATTTTTTAAGGGGGAAAAACGCTGGGATGGGGGAGGTCCCAAGTTCTCATTTAACATCATTTGGGGGGAAAAAAAGGAAATGGCCTTGATCATTGACAGATCCTGGATGAGATTGTGTTCCACTGAGCCCAGCAGAATTCCTTGCCCATGCACTTGGCTGGGGCAGATGGTGGTTGCTTGTTTAGTGGAGATAAGGTAGAGATAAAGCCCCAAATCATGGTAAGGGTTTGCAGATCCAAGCCTCTGGTTTTTGGGCAAAATGCTATTGAGTGCTGTACCTGCTCTGGTGTTCCAGAGAGGTTTGGAAAAAAAAAAAGAAAAAGTATTTTTGTTTACATTTGCTTTGATGCCATTTTTACTTAGTCTTTTTTATTTCCCATGATTTTTGTTTTCCTACAGTGTGGCTGACAAGCCTAAAAAGCAGCAGAAGAGCCAGGAAATGTGCCCCAAACTCTGCATTAGGTGTGGAACCAGTTTCAATGTCTCCTTTTGTGCCCTCAGTGTGCTAGTGCACCAGGTTTTCTGGTGCACAGGTTTCTCTGCTTTAGGCCACAGGCAATTGGTGGTGGCTGAGGTGTCCCAGTGTCACCAGCCAGTAGAGACCACAGAATTGTACAGAACAATTCAGACTGAGCTGGGAGGGTCTCTCCTCCCCTCACCAGCTGGGGGAATGGCTTCAAAGTGAAGCAGAGTAGGTTCAGATGGGATGTTAGGAAGGAGTTGTTCCCTGTGAGGGTGGGGAGGTCCCAGCAGCAGCTGTGGCTGCCCCTGGATCCCTGGAAGTGTCCAGGTTGGACAGGGCTTGGAGCAGCCTGGGGCAGTGGAAGGTGTTCCTTTCACTAGGAGTTGGAACTGGGTGATCTTTAAGGTCCCTTCCAACCCAAACCATTCTCTGAAGGTTCTGAGCTTCAGCACAGCGTGCTGGCAGTGTTCACACTGAGATGCTGCTGATGTTCTGAGCCCCAAAATTCAGAGTATCCCCATGGGATTCCCTGCTGGGCTGCACAGAGCTCCCAGAGGGAAGCAGATGCACTCAGCTGTTTGAGGAGAGGGGATATTGGGCATTTTGTAGGAAGGGTCAAGACTTTCCATGAAACCAGCACAGGTCTGTCCATTAGGATCCACATCAACGGGAACAGGCATGGAGGGTGGGAGGAATTTTAGGAAACCTGTGCTTTAAAATATTCCTGTTATTAATAGTGCTCTGATGAAGATGGGGCATGACACACCTGCTCCATCCCGAGGATGATTTCTGACACCTTCCCCCTTAGCTTGGGAGTCTTTCAGGTGTTTTCTCCTGTCCTGCCATATCCTGACGTGAAATAAACAACACAATCATCTTTAGCTTTGTTCTTAACACCTAGAGAACATGATGTTACCTCCTTCCACATTTGCATTTTTAATTTTTAGGCTGTAGTTTAAAGGTTCATTTCCTTCAGCAGCACTGCCAGCACTGCTCATTCCCCAACCCTTTTGCAAATCTGTGCCCATATTCCTGTTCATGTGGCAACACAATAGCAGATTTTTAAAGTGGCTGTGTTATCTTGCTAGTAGCTGGCAGGTTTACAGGGAAATGGATGAGGCCTTGTGTTGTTTTTAAATACAAACAGGGAGCAGGTTACCCAGCAGGTTACCCCAGCAAAACATGGAATAAAAACATAAAGATAAAATTGATAAAATTTCCCCTGAATTACCTCATTTGTCTGATTTTCCTGATATTGAGGGTAGTGGAAAATCACTTATTACTCAGGAACTTGAGTGAATTCTGAATGTAGGTTTCTGTTCAGTCTGTAGGAACTGTTTTCAGGTTAGTTTTAGAGCTTATTAGCAGAGTGTCTGTCTGTCTCTCATTATCTCAGCTGCTTCCTCTGAAAGCTTTGCAGACCCACCTACCCCACACATCCAAGTGGGATGTTCAGCAGCTTCTGACTGGTCCCATATTCCCTCCTCTCTCCATACAGGCAAAAAAAACCCCACCAGGGCAAAAGTCTTGGGATATTTTTAAAGAGAAAGAGGAGGGGAATCGTGGAGTTAAGTGCAGGGAATGGGTCCATAGAGCAGATATTTGCCATGAGCTGTCTGTGGCAGGATCAGGGAAGGCTGTGAAGGGCTCCTAAGAGTTTTTGCAGGTGTGGGCTTGTCCTGCAGAGCTGTGGGCTCAGAACCCCCATCGTTCCTTAGGGATCTCTTGGTCACCACTGGCTGCAAGTGCTGAGATGTGAAGGGGATGTGTGTTGTGTTAGTGATGGCACTCAAAAGCTGCAGATCAGGCAGAAGACCCTGAGCCCCAAATTTGGGGGTTATGGAAAGATCTCTGGGTTATCTTGAAACTCCATGGCAGCAGCACTTGTATCTTAAATCTTGATGACTCCTCCAGGCTCTCTCCTGGAGCAGAAGTTGGTATCAAGGCAGGGCAGCCGAGGAAGAACACTGAAGTGAAGGGGGTTAAAAAATCAGCTCCATGGTTGGGTTTGAGGTGCACAGGCATTTTCCCCAGTCCTTGATAAGTTAGACCTTTCCCATATAAAATCATTGTCAGCAATGCACATATGGACACTGTACAGTGTCAAGCATTTACAGATTTTACCCTGCCAGATGACAGCATTTTGTAAGAGAACTAAAATTAACTATTCTTAACTAGAAATACTGTAGAGATTGTAAAACAAAATTTGTATTGCAAATTCTGATTATCTCTAGTGGGTAAGACACAGTTAGATCCCCACAGATAATACAGCACAGAAATTCCATACATGTTTCTCTGAGGACATTTATATGGCCATTGCTGAAGGGGAAGGTTGCATTGCTCTTGGTTCACTGATTGCTGGAAATGTTTGGATTGCCCTGTTGGAACAAAGCTGTGGCACTGCCCTCCTGCATAAGAGCTAAGTAGCCTCACTGCTCTCACTAGCTGCCTGCTTAGCTAGAAGTTCAGTTTATTTTTCCTCTCCTAGTTTTATTTTTTGCACACTGTTTCACTGTAAGGTCCCGCTCCCCAAACATGTTGAGCTTCTCCCTTTATCCCAGGCAGATCCTGAGGATTAAACTAAAGCTCAGTATTTACCCTTCTAGTGGGGGGGCAGAGCATTTATTCTCCTAAATGTTTCTTCTGGGTTTTTGAAGCAGTTCTGAAGTAAGAATAATTGAGGAATGATCTCGTGTTCTTCGCCGTGTCCCGGCTGAGCGAATTCATGCGCTTCTCAATTCCACATTAGGTCAGCGTTTGTTCGGGGAGACAATCCTGGGGCTGACACAAGGCTCTGTCTCAGACCTGCTGGCTCGCCCCAAGCCCTGGCACAAGCTGAGTCTGAAGGGAAGGGAGCCCTTTGTCCGCATGCAGCTGTGGCTCAACGATCCCAACAACGTGGAGAAGCTGATGGATATGAAGCGCATGGAGAAAAAAGGTAACCGGGAGCAGCGTGCTGACTCACGCCTTCCTCTCCTCAGCCTGGCTTTTAGAACCCTCCAGAAACAGTGGAGAGGCAGCACTGATCCACTCTTAGGAGGCTTATGCAAAAGGACTTCACCACAACTTATTTTGGAGCTTTTATTTGATGCTTGCTCAAGCAGATAGATCTCAAAATAAAAGAAAACAAACACACAACCAAAAGCCAACCCCAAACCCTAAATATTCACCAGCTGCTGGGGAATCATTGCTGTTTTCTCCTATAGATTAATTACTGAGGCCCTGGTGTATCACTGATAACTTGCCTTACCAAATGAGAAATGTGGGTTTGGGAGCTGCCTTTGGGTTATTAGTTAATAGTGCTGCAGCTGGTCACAGATGTTGGGCTGGAAGAAGTGTGCATTGATTCCTGGGAAAGCTCCTTGCCAGTCCTGCACTGATGGTTGCTGGGAGGAGAGAAAAATGCAGCCTTTATAAAAGGCTCTTGCAGAATAATGATATTTGTAGCCTTTATAGAGAGAGGTAAGGTGATTGTGTTAATAAAATAAAATTTGTGTTATGCTCACATAAAACAGGGTCATGGGGATGGACCTGTGAGTGCTCCGAGTTGTTACTGGGTATCTGAGTAGGAAGTACATCCTGCAAATTTATCCAGCTCTCTCCATTTTAAATTCATCACTAAAACCCAGTGGTTATTCAGAGCCCTGTTTTTAGTATGTTCATGTGATTTTACAAGAGAGACTCGTGGGCTGCCATTATCAGCAGTTAACTAATTAATGATACATACATCTCTGGAGCTACCCCTTAATGATATTAGCACAGACATCATTAATCGTGTACACTGAAAGCTCTGCTGTTGACTGATGTTCTGAAAGCATTTACACATTTGATCAAGAACTTGGTGATTATATTTAAAATTGCAGTGAGGGAGCTTCTGGGAAAATTATAGTCTTGCAAGCTTTTAAGAAGAAATTCAAACCCTTGTCACAGTAACCAGTATAATATAAAGCAGTTCAGTATCTTAGCACGTGTATGATCTTCCATGGGGAGTAAAATCCTCTTGGGTTTCCCACTTACAACTGTAAACCAAAGGGAATCTTGAGGAGTTTTGCTGTATTAGAAACATGGCAGGAATAAAATTGTCAACTAGCTGGGTTTTTATAGCCTCACAGAGAATATTGCCCATAATGCAGCAAAATAAAATAAAAATAATTTAAAAGTAGTACTGACAATATCCTTTCAAAACGATTTTCTAAACTGGATTCTTATCAAATAGTGAGTGATACATATGGTCTGTAGATGGCATCTGAATAGAGATAAGGCCATAAATCATTGAGACTCTGCTCTGAGCTCCTGAACTGTGCAAGTGCTATCCTCAGAGCAGTCTAAAGTGAATTCAATCCTGTATTTTCTGCAAAATCCTTTCATGCAGGTAAGGATCCTGTGATTTAACCTTTTAAATTGCTCCAGAGCCACATTAAGAATTTAACTTTCCCTTCAGCTAATGTCAGTTAAAGAACAATGTGACTGGGTCTGCTTCCAGTGAAACATTATTATCAATTATTTCTCTGCCACATTTTATTAAGGGAGTAAATTAATAATTATGATAAAGGTGAGCTGCATATCTCTTTTTTTTTCCTGTTCCACCAGTCTGAAGTTTGTTCTATAAATGTCCCTTTTAACAGGTTTTGAAAATTTGCAATGTACACTAACCAAGCTCTTTGGAAGGAGCTGGGGCTTCGTGCTCATCAGGCTGAGATATTCTGTACACCTTTCCTGCCTTGGAAGAGTTTATTCTTCTCATAACCTCTGGGTGTTGGGCTGCTGGAGCATCACACTCCTGTAGTACAGCACTGCTGTCAGAAGAAAATTTAATTCCCTTTATTTCCCCATTATTTCACTTTTTAATAATCTTGTTCAATACCACGTAAGGTAAAAATCATATTAAAGGGGGCTCTGTTTTAGCTCAGTGGGCAGCTGTGCAATGGTGTCTGTGGCATCCATAGCTGGGCACATGCTGGGGGGGAAAGGTGTAACTCAGTCAGCCTCAGACCCAGACCTTTGCCCAAATTACACCTGGGTTTCCTTCTTTTTCATATGTCTCCTGAGGAGTGGAGGCTGGTCACAGACAAAAATCAAACTTCTCCAAAAATAAAATGTGTTTGCAACTTGGATTGCAGTTTGAGCCTTGCTGTCACTGCAAATGAGCTGAGTGATTTCCTTACGTTGTCTGCACGCAGCACATATGTTTAAAAATAAAAATGGACAAGTTTTTAAAAATGTCATTTAAGTTTCCAGAGACCAGCATTAAAGCCTGAAGTCTTGAGTCCTAGTTCTGCCTTTAGCCCAGTGATGGTAGATTATTCTCCAGAAAACAATTGCTCTGACAGAACAGTGGGACATCCTCCTTTTTATTTGTATTTTAATGAAATATGTGCTTTTATATAATTTGTTCCATTCACATGAGAGCAGTCCATCTCAGCCAGTGCACCTTTTGTGATCCCAGTGTGAGGTTACAGGAGCAGAGGAAGGAATGACATTTTTCCCAAGCTCTCACAGCTCCAGATTGTCCTTTGCTGCTTAAGACAGGAGCTCTGCCCTGCCAGAAACCCCATCCTTTGGAGAGCAGACAAAGGGAGATCCAGCCCATCCTGATCACTGTGTGTCTCATGCTGGCTCAGTCACCTGGCCAAAGTCCAGAAACTCCAGTTGGAGGTGGTCTGAGCCCCTGTCACATCTCCCATGCCAGGTTCTGTTCTGCCTCGTGGCCTCCTTGAAGCTGCTGCCCCTTGCTGAGGTGGTGGATGCTGTCCTCCAGCCTCTTGGTTCTGCAGTGCAAGGAAACAAGGGAGCCTTGGCTGAAGTTTGCAGGTCAATGCAAAGAGGAAATAACACCCAGGAAGGAGTTTTGAGATTAAACACTTCATAGAAATATGAGATTATCTTCCTGGAATGATTAATTCCATGGCTGAAGGTTGTAACAGTTCCTTGAAGGCTGCAAAAATAAGGCCAATAGGTTGCCTTGAAATAATGCAGATTTTTTGCAGTTTTACATCTGGTTGGAACAACTTAAATAGGTGGATTTTTAAAGGAGATTTATTAAAAAAAAAAAGCAAACAACACTTTGTTTTTTATGGTTATGTAAACGTGTGCAGGACTGTGTCACGTCAGAGTGATGGATCACAAGCAGCTCACGTTGTGTTCCATATCAGTGATCTTACACAGCAGGCAATCCTCAGGTAATCTGTCATATTCAGGAAAAGCAAAATGTGGGCATGCAGATACCCCCAAAGGTTACAGAGTGTGTTCAGAATTCACTTCCATGATAGTAAAGCCACAGTGCCAAAGGTCCCACTGGAGGCACCATGGAGAGGGGCAGGGTGCTGGAACCCGCTGGAGCCAGAAAACCCAGCCAGTCCTGGAGGGAGCCCTGCCAGGAGGCATTGGCTGGGCTTTGAACACTATAGTTTATTTGATTGCACTGATTTTTTATTCACTGTGCAGCCTCAGCCTGCAGGCAGAGCTGTGGGGAGAGAAAAAATTAATTTTTGAAGAATTTGGTTGCTGACCAGTGTGACTGGCACCACAATGTCCCTGGCTCTGACCAGAGCTCCTGGCTCCTGGAGATTTAATGCCTCCTGAATTGATGTCAGGCTGGTGAAATCTGGAATTTAATACATGAGGTTGTCAAATTTTAGCTCTTGAATATGTAAACTCTTAAATATCTAGAAGGTATTTAGTAGGCCTTTAAATATTTTATTGATAAGATTCATTTATATTTGCTGTTTTCAGCCCCCTCATTAGCAATGCTTGTGCATGATACTGCCAGGTGCAATAAATCCCACCTCTCCATGCCCAGTGTAAATCAATCAAGTCAGTGACAGCCTTTGCTGGGACTCCTTCCTTGTGGAATTTGCCAGGATAATTCACTCCCAGTCAGGGAGGAAGGTCAGTGGCAGGATCACAGGCTCCTGCCATCAGCTTCACCGAGCCCATCAGTGCAGGGAGAGCTTTCTTAAAAGTGTCTGTGTTTTGGAAGGAGCTTTGTGGAGGGGAGGAGGGCGCTGGGGGCTGGTTTTCTTTCATAACCTGTCACTGCCACAGCAGAGAGCTGAAGGGAGAGGCAGCCTGATGGCTGTTCAGCCCTGATGGTTGTTCAGCCCTGATGGTTGTTCAGCCCGTCCCTGGCATCTCCGGGCTCCAGGCGCCATCGTGTGTCGGAGATGGTTTGGGAAGTCTGGGAATGCTGCAGCTCCACTTCCACAGTCATATTTTCCTTCATGTCAGAGACACCTCCGTGTACACCTGAAGTGTTTTAACCACCAAAGCCCTTTCAGTCAAAACGAAGCACTACTGTCCCAGTCAGGGCCTTACGTGGGAGTTCACTCCTCTCGAAGGAGTGAATCTGAAATGAGTCGTGTGAACTAAACCCTGTCATTCGTGTCCCACGTTCATTGTAAAGGCAGAAAACTCTGGCAGGTTTCCAGCTGACTTACCCTCTTTTCTTCTCTTTCTGCCTCTTTCATCCTCCCCTCATTTGGTCTCTGGTGGCACCCCATCCTTCCCATCCCCTCCCAGCAGCCCATCCCTGCATCCCCACCTGCCATCTCCGTGTTTATCCCTCAGCTTTCCCAATCTTTCCCTCTCACAGCAGCAAGTTTATACCCAAGTTAAAAAGACCCTGATAGACAAAAATCCATTGATTGTGCATTTGTACTGAGCCCGGGCTGACCCACTGTGCTTCTCTTCCAGCCTACATGAAGCGGAGGCACAGCTCCGTCAGCGACAGCCAGTCCTGTGAGTCCTCGTCCGCTGGCATCGACTACAGCCAGGGCGCCAGCCCCCAGCCCCAGCACCAGCTCAAGAAGCCCCGGGTGGTGCTGGCACCAGAGGAGAAAGAAGCTCTCAAACGAGCCTACCAGCAAAAGCCATACCCATCACCAAAAACCATTGAGGAACTCGCCACACAGCTCAACTTGAAAACCAGCACCGTGATCAACTGGTTCCACAATTACAGGTGCGTGACCTCCCAGGAGCCTTGCTCCTGAGGGATGGTTTGGCTTGGCTCTGGCAGGTGCTGCTGTGCCTCAGCAGACTGTGTGGTTGTGCAAAACAAGCAGCTCTGACAGCAGGGAGGTTCTCACTAACACAGTGCTAATGCTGCAGACTAATTTTAAGTCATCCCTGAGGAGCAACAGTACTCACATATTGATGTAAGTAGTGCTTTTAAACAGAAAGTCTGGCTTTTGGGGTGGGCGTGGATGTAGAGATGCCCACTGATGAATATTTATAAAGCCACTGCAGTAGGCCAGGCTGCTCTGTCTGACTCACATGTGCACATGCACAGACACGTGTCGGGTGTGTGGTGGGTGTCCCGGGGTCACTGGGTGGGGGGTACTTGGAAATGTCCGTTATTGGATGCCATCAAAATTGCCCTGCTTTCACTGTGTCATTTTTCTGCATCAGAAGAAAAAAAGGATTTTCTTTTAGGTCTTGAGTCACCGAGCTCTGAAAATAGGCACGGTGTTTGTGCTGTGTTTCTGGGAAGCTTCATGCAGTCCTGAAGGACAGAGAACCAATAACCCTGAAATCAGAAGTGGTCACAGAGAGGGACATCTTACAAGGGCCTGGAGTGCCAAGACAAGGGGGAATGGCTTTAAACAGACAGAGAACAGGGATAGATGGGATATTGGGAAGGAATTCAGAGGGTGGGCAGGCCCTGGCACAGGGTGCCCAGAGCAGCTGTGGCTGCCCCTGGATCCCTGGAAGTGCCCAGGGTCATGTTAGACAGGGCTTGGAGCAGCCTGGGCTAGTGGAAGGTGTCCCTGCCCATGGCAGGGGGTGGAACAAGGTGAGCTTTTAGCTCCCTTCCAACCCAAACCATTCCAAAATTCTATGATTTATTTCATTGGTATGATTAAATCAAGTCCCACTGAAATAAAATGTTAGTCTGTTCAGTTCCTCTCTGGTTTGAGGAGGAACCTTCTCCACATTTGAACACCTGAAGTAGGTTTTGGCCTAGAGACAGGGATAAAAAGAGACAAGGGTGGAATAGCACAAAAGAATTACAGGGATTTGAATAAACATATTATCAACTGTGCTTGGGATTGGAAGTCCTAATTAATGCAGCAGACTTTCCTCCAAGAAATTTGTGCTAATGAATATTGAACAGGTACAGTTAAGCTACCAGATTTAATACTATTCTGTTCCTTCACTCGGAGCCAGTAATGTTCCTAATTAGTCCAGATTGCTAAACTTGTTTGTTTTTAAAAACTGCTAACATTTTAAGGGTAGTTTTTCACTTTAGCCCTTCTCAGCTTTTACCAGGGAAGTTGCTGAAGCAAAAGCAGCAGAGTTTAATGAGCTATCTCAGAAATATTATTCACAATAGTTAAATAGTCTTTATAGTAAACAATACAACATTTTTTAAAAAATCAAGTAATCATATTTACACTGAATTTCACTGCCTTGAATTCAGTACAGATGCAGCCTCTTTTCACCGCTCAGAGTTCTCCAAATGCAGGCCTCTTCCAAGTCCCACTTGCAGGCAATTATACACAAGTTGGAGGGTTGCCTATGAAAATACGTTCCCTTCGTCCTGACAGCAAGATGTGCTGTTCTCACTCGGGCAGAGGAGCGCGGGAGCTGGTGGCAGGTGTCACCTCCCTCAGCATCACGAGCTCCCTGCCTGGGCGTGCACTGCCTCAGCCCCACCTGCCCGGGGAGGAGGTGCTGACAGCTGGACACAGCATCAAACCCTGCAAACGGGGCTGGGGACAGCACGAGGCTGAGCTTTCAGTGATCTGCGCCTGCTCCCAGGTGTGCTGCTGGGACTCCAGGGCTTTCAAAAGCTGTCTGGAGCCCTGTGTGCTCTGAGCATTGAAAAATCAAAACACAAAACTATTTTTTGTTCCCCTTGACAATAACTTTCTTAGCTGTCGTGCATGAATTTCTCTTAAATCATGTGTAGGGTGTTGCAGAAAAAGGACAGGTTCCATGTTCTGTGAGGGGAGCAGGGTCTGACAGTTCTGCAGCTTGTATAAGAAATGGGTGGTCTTTCTTTCAGTCTTCTCCAGGCCACACTTAACTTTATTTATCTCTTTCATACTCTCCCTCAGCCACTTTTTTTCCCAAACTGAAGAGTTTTTTATACAGAAGCAGTTCCATGTCTCTGACCATCTGCTTGTGCTTTAATACTAATTTTTCTGTAGCTTTAGATAAGGGAGGGCACAGATTTGGACATGCTTGTCTTGCTGTCTCTTGGGAATCCTGTTGCAGTGATGCTTTTCTTTTCAGATTCAGCCCAAATCTCACTTTCCAAATGTGGTTGCTATAGCAGGATCTACCTTTATATCCACCAGATGGAAAGTCAGCATTAGCATTTATTTCCTGCAGCAAAAAGAAACGCTGAAAAAAATCTCCTCAGCAGGCAAAGAAATCATTCACTTCAGAATATAAATGGGTATAAAGGATTTTGACATGTCTGCAAACTTCTCCAAGTCTATGGCTTTGCATTTATACCAGTCACTGAGCTCTCAGAATATACAATAAATATCCCTTGCTTTGCACTAGTGAAGCACATACAGGACACATCAGAGTTGAGGCACTGATGCCTTAAGAATGATAGAAAAAGCAGGAGGGAGGAATTTCTATCCCACTTCACCTGTGGAAACTGGCACGTAAACTCAGTATGCCACAGAAATTGTACTACAGACACATCAGGAATTAAACCAGACTTTGTGGAATTGTAATCCAGCACTCTTGGACCCTAAATTCTGAGTGTATTGTTCAATGAACTCTATATTGTGTTGGTTTTGATGTTGTGTGAAGGCTTGTCCAGGGAGCTGCAGCAAACACCCAGGAGATCTCTGATGTTTTGCGTTCCACTGGTGAAAGCCAACAGGGTGTGTGGATGTCAAGGCCAACACCTTCCCCAAGAGGAATGCTCTCTGGAATCCTCTAGCTGCTGTCACCAGTTCTTCTTTACCATAAGAATTTAATTACTGTGTTAATCAGGAGCCAGACCAGATTCCAGCAGCAATATACTGGGTGTGAATTCCAGGGATTTGCACAGGCACGGGTTTGATGTTCGTAGGGCTGTGGTTCAGTACCTGCTGGAGCTGAGGTATTTTAAATGCCATGCAGGCACAGAGCTCTTACCAGCCTCCTCTCCTGACTTGGGGAATGTTACAGAAGCACCATGCTCTGGATCCATGTCCATGCAGGGAGATTTTAGGCATAAATAGAGCCTGATAATCGATGCTGCAGGATGCGTGCAGTTAATGGTAATAGAAAATTAATGTTAGCACCTATGGGCTTCCGTTAGGTGAATAATATTCTCCTAGGGAAAATTACAGACCCCCTAAATCCTTCAAAAGTGTGGAGTCAGCGAGTCCTGCTGAAATACTCTGTTGCATTTCAAGTAAGTCAATAAGATCAATAGCTTCAAAAGCAGTATTCAGGTGGTGTTCTCCATTTAGCTGAATGTTTTTCCATTGTGTGCTGTCTTCCACAGCACAGTTAAGGGAAAATAGAAAATCCTTACAGCCATCAGTGCTGGGACAGTGTGTCACTTGTGGTTTGCAGGCCCCTTGGCAGTTCCCTGTGGCTGAAACCAAGAGTTTTTTATCGTCGCTCTGAAAAATAGTAAGTTCTGGTAAATCCTCGCCAGGCCTGTGGTCCCATCCCTGACACCAGATCACTGGGGTTCCCTCAAAATTAGGACTTAAATGGCGTACATCACTTCTCCCATGGATGCAGCAGGACAGAGAAAGGGTTAGCCCAGAGCCTAAGGTTCTTCCATAAACTTTTCCATACTTGTGAGGATTTTGGGAACTCCTAAACAGAGAAGGAAGAGGGAGGAAGGCCTGAGTAAAATGGCAGAGGTGGTGTGTTTGGGGTATCCTTGCACACCAGGCAATTCTACCCACCCATGGAGTGCAGTCATTCCTATGAAAGGCACTACTTGGCTTGCACTATTCATGTACTGAAATTGATTTTTTAAATAAAAAATGAGGCAAAAGTCAGACTAGCTCATAGACTGGCAGCCTGTCACAGGCTGGGCTTTCTCACAGTGCTTTCACGGGCTTGGTTTCATCTTCATTTCTCCTTGCTGTACAGGAGAACACTAAGGGACTTGTCCAGCTTTTTCTTGGTTTATTTTTTGTTTAGGCAGACTGGCTCATTTCTAGTAGAAACCTGAATTGTTTTGTTTTTACAATCCACTTCATTCTGGAATTCCTAAAACTGTAGTCATACTTTTTGTTAAAAATACTATCTTCTCACCAGGGGAATGGTGGAGTTACCACTCCTGGAAGCATTCAAACAATGGGTCAGTGCAGCACTGGGCAGTAGGGTTTGGTGGTACTTGCTTGGAAATTGGACTCAATGGTCTCGAAAGTCTTTTCCAGCCTTAATGATTCCACAAAAGGGCATCTTCAGTGGTGTGGAAAGGGCATTTCTAGTGGAGCTGGGTGTCTCTTCACCACCCTGGCAGACTCAGGAAATTCACAGAATTCACAGAATCACCAGGTTGGGAGAGACCTTCAAGATCATGGAGTCCAACCCAGCCCAAACACCTCAACCAAACCCTGGCACTCAGTGCCACATCCAGGCTTTGTTAAACACACCCAGGGATGGGGACTCCACCACCTCCCTGGGCAGAGCATTCCAGAACTTTATCACTCTTTCTATGAAAAACTTTTTCCTTATATCCAATCTATATTTCCCTTGGTGCAGCTTGAGGCTGTCTCCTCTGGTTCTGTCAGTGCTGACTGGAAAAGGAGACCAACCCCACCTGACTACAACCACCTTTCAGGGAGTTGTAGAGAGCAATAAGGTCACCTCTGAGTCTCCTTTTCTCCAGGCTGAGCACCCCAGCTCCCTCAGTGGCTCCTCACAGGGTTTGTGTTCTGTGGCAGCAGCTCCCTGGCCACAGAGAACAGGCACAGACTTTCCCAGGCACTTTCCTGGAGAAGGCTGTGAGAAGATCAGAGAAAAGAATGAGAAACAACTCTTACCTCCACTTGTTGCACCAACTGTTGTGCACATGCAGAATGTGTCATGGAGATTTGTTTACCAAAGGGTGATTTCTTAATTGAACACTGGATGGTGTTGGAATTGATTGACCAGTTAGGCAAAAGCTGTGTCAGATTGGCTGTAAGGGTTACCGAGTTTCTTAATAAGTACAGTAGATAATAAGTATATAATAAGCACAGTATATATATATATATATATATAGCATCATATAATATAGTATATAATGCTATAATAAAGCAATTGATCAGCCTTCCCCAATCATGGAATCAATGCTAATTATTACCTGTGGCAACAGTGTTCCAAGCCCCTCAGCAGCCTGGCTGCCCTCCGAACTCACATCGCTCTCCCCTCTCTCCTAGGTCGCGCATCCGCCGGGAGCTGTTCATCGAGGAGATCCAGGCCGGGAGCCAGAGCCAGGCCGGGTCGAGCGACTCCCCTTCGGCCAGGAGCAGCAGGGCGGCGCACAGCTCCGAGGGGGACAGCTGCGACGGCGTGGACACGGAGGGCCCTCCCGACGGGAAGCCCAGCGGCCCGGAGGCGGACGAGTTCAGCAGCGCGGCCGCCAAGTCTCAGGGAGGGCCCGCCGAGCCGGCGTTCGAGGCGGGGGAAGAGGCACTGCGAGGCGCCCGGCCTTCGGAGAGAGCGGAGCCCGAGAGCCTGGAGGACACCGACGACGAGGGCCGGCTCCGAGCGCCGCGCCAGAGCTCCCCGCCGGCGCCGCGGCGCCCAGGAGACGCTCCGGAGACACTGCCAAACTCTGCCACGGAAGGGGATGCCTCTACCTCAGCCGCCTCCACCTCAGTCCTTACGGGGGAGAGCTCCTACAAGTCAAAAGAAAGTTCAGAGAAAATCTCCGGTGTGCCAAGTACGAGCTCGACGCCGGCCGCAGGCTCGCAGAAAGCCAACTCCCTGCAGAGCTTGTTCAGCTTCTCGGAGGCGGCGAGCTCCAGGAACACGCGAGACAGCTCCCTGAGGAAAAAGAAAGCGGCCAACTTGAACAACATCATCCACCGCTTGGAGAAGGCCGCCAGTCGGGAAGAGGCCGTCGAGTGGGAGTTTTGAGATTAAACTGGCCCAACTCGGGAGAGCTGGGAAGTCAAACTGGACCTCTACTGGTTTTATTGTGTTCGCACTTAACCGCCCTGCGGGCCACAGGGCAAAAACGCCATAGGCCAAGGTGCATAAAAAAATCAAAAAAAAAAAAAAAAAAAAAAAAAAAAAAAAAAAAAAAAAAAAAAAAAAAAAAAAAAAAAAAAAAGGAGCGTTAAGCCCAATTTATGTTTGTGTTTTCGAGGAAGAAAACTGAAATGTGTAGTCAAGCTTTTTTGTACCCTGAAGTGTTTTTATTATTGCCCTAAGTGATTTCCACAATTTCTGGAATAACTCATACAGCTTTGCCTTGTGCCCTCCTCTTTGGTGTGGGGCTTTAAAAAAATGAAAAACAGGAAAAAAAAAAAAACTTAAAAAAGAAAAAATCTTAAAAAAAAATCAACCCACATATTAAAAGGGGGCTTTTTATCTGCCATCTAATGGCTACAGAGCGATAATACACTATTATCTTCTTAAACCAGGAAAAAAGGGGAGATTTTTCAAGAAAAAGAAAAAAAAAGAAAGTTTTTTGTAGCTGTTCAGTTGCCACTAAGAGATTGCACAGTCAACCGACTCTAAACACACTAGTTTGGATTCCTACATATTTTCAAGAAAAGAAAAGAATCTTGTTGTTTGAAACTTTGAATTAAAAAAAAAACACATTTACTCCACATATTTTTTAACAAAACAAAAAAAAAGTCACATCAGGAAAATATCTTAATTTGTGGTAGCTGACTTAGTGTTTTCTTGTAAGTGAAATAGAATATTGACACGTAGTGCACATTGTTTCATAGCTTTAACTGATTCTGGTCTTTTGCAGCCCAGAATTTGTTTAATACACTCCATTTTAGGCCAAATCAGGACAAAAAAAAAAAAAAATCTGAATCTAGGTATTTTATAATCTGCTTTTTAACCTCTAACCACAGAGCACGCTGATCAGACCTCATATCTGGGAGGTTTAGGAGACAACTTAGAAGCAGCATGTACTTGATCATTTCACTTGGTTCGTAGTGTAGAGGATTTCCTTTCAGCAAAGACCGATCGCTCCAAAAACGTTGGCCAGTAACATTTCAGCCTGCTACTTGGGGGCCTAGCCCGTATCCCGACCATTCAGCTTACCTGGAGCCCTTGGGAACGCAGTTCACGTGTCCGATTGCTGTCACACCACTAAGAGGGACGGGAGCTGCCGCAGACCCAGCCCTTCTCCTGCTGTTGGTGGCCATTACTGACTCTCTTCCCACCACGAGCACTGATTTTAAATACGTTTTAGTCGTGGGAAGCTCCTTTTTGGCGTGGACAAAGAGTACATGGCAATGACCAGACGGGCTCTTGCCGGGGTGGAAGCAGCCCGAGCTCGAAACCAAAACCTTCGTGCTCTCGAGTCCCAGTGCGGCCCGTTCTGCCCTGCAGAAATACAGCCTTTTCCCATTATTTTATGCACAGGTTAGGGCTGATCAAAGTACAAATCCAATTCTAACTTGTCTCTAACTCCTCCTGTTGTCTATATGTATATGCGTGAGCATAGAGGTGTGTGGAAGGATGTGTGTGCGTGGGTGTGTGCGTGCAATTTTATACGTCTGTGTATTTTCTTACGTACTTGTGCACACATAGAGTGCATTACTGCCACCTTTTTTCAATAAGCTGTTTTATCAGTTATGGCTTCTACAAGTTTGCTAATTTAGACTCCTTTATTGCCATATCTTTAAAACTAACAATAGATGATTTCGGAATATATATATATATATAAATATATATATATATAATTTTTTTTTGCTTATTTATAGGTGCTGTATTTTATTATCTGATTGTTAGGAAGGGATGAAAGGGGGCAAATATTCTTTAGAGGGATAGACTGCCGGCAGTATTGGGTATAATTTACAAGATGTAGTTGTCATACTGTATATTATTGATTGAAGACTTTTTTGACCGTATTGTGTATCATTGAACTTTTGTCTTAGGTCAGCATCTTTTTGATGACACTTTAATGGTGCATTCATTACTTCTTAAGTTTAATTAATATTACTTTTCTGATTTTGGGGGAGGGAGGGATGGGGGAGAGGAGTTCCGACTTTAAAGGTATGTTCCCAATATTACACCTCAGTGTGCTTGTATTAATTCATTAGTAGGATTTTTGACTGTAAGATGTGAAACCACATTTCTTGCATGATGTTTTAGAACTTACGTATTTCATTTACAGTCTCTTAACATGCAACAGCAGCACTTAGTGCAAGTTTTCACAAATTTAAGAATCAGTACACTAAAATCCATCCTTCTCATGACTAAGGAAAGAAGGCTCTAGGAGGCTGAAAGGCAGGGATTTATTTCCGATTTTCACTGCTAGCTGTTTCAGGATTCCTCCTTGGGTGACTGGGGACTCGTGATGCGAAACTAAAGCTGAGGGACGGAGAGAGAGCAGCTGCCCCTTTCTGTGATGGGCTGAGGGACAATTGGCAGTGGCAGACACCAGGGTGTGGCAGCACGTGCTGGGAGCTCTCCGGGAGCGTGGCCAGCACGTGGGAACGGGGTGAAGCCCAGGGTGACCTCTCTGTGCCTGCCCAGGGTCCTGGTCTGATTTCCAAAGCACAGCTCCACGATAAACACGTCCTGGTAGGAGTTCACATACCTTAGCATAGTCACAACCAGCTGCGTCTCCAGCCAAGAGCAAAACTTCTGCCCAGAAGATGCAGATATTTTCTTAGGTTCTTTAATTGGTTTTATTTTTTTTTCTTTGTTGTTGTTGTTTGGTTCAGGTTGGGTTTTTTAATTGATTCTAGGCAATACACTTGCCAGTCTGTTCCTACTGTCCTTGTCTGCTGATTTGAGACCCAGGTGCTGGATGCAGTCAAGTGGTTACTCTCGGCTTTCTCCATAGTGAGGGTTTTTTTTTCTGTTTGATTACTTTAGTTTGTTTTTTAAGTTAATATTCCCCAAACTGTTCTTGTGCCTGTGTCTATCTGATTGCATTCCATGATGCTTACTGAGAGCTCTGGCTGCAGTGTACGACAGCAGAACTGTATTCACAGGTCGAACGCAAATGCAGCACTTAAGGTCAATCTCTCTTCTTAATAAGCAATATGTAAGTGCCTTGAAACATATCTTTTTCTTTTTTTTTTTTCCCCTGTTTATTTTTGGTTTGCTTTTCAGGTTTCCACCAGTTCTTTAGGATTCTTTAGTGTCCTCCCATTTTTTAATGCTGTAATGATTTTTAAAAAGCATATCTGTAGCTTGCCCTAGAGGAAATCTTTCTTTCATAACACTAACTGTTAATTCTAAGCTCCATTATTCCATTTGAGTCATGTAATTTTGGTGGTTAAAGACAGCATTCAGAAGTCAGAAGTCACTCCATCCTGCCAAGCATTATCATTGGGATCTATTATAAAATTAATCAAATAAAAGGCTGTCAGTATTTCCTATATTTTTGGCACTTTATTAATGGCTTAGCTCCTTTTGCTGTTTCATATTTAATGATCTGTGTTGAATGTGGATTAGCCTGCTGAGATGCTGTTGGGGTGATCTCCTGCCCGGAGTCCCTTTGGGTTCCTTGGTGACCCCTGGATGCAGGGCAGGGGCCGAGGAGCACCCTCAGGCCTGGAGCTCAGAGATGCCCCTGGGTTTGTCCTGGTGTTTAGGCAAGGTCACCACTGCTCTCCTGTTCCAGTGGAAAGCAGGATGGATGAGCTGAACTACTGCTGATATTCTCGGGTTGGACATGAGTTACCTGCTGGTGTTTCTGGCCAAGGCCCCCCAGTTTAGAGGCTGAACTTACACTGCAGGGTGTGAGAGATAGTTGGGATCAATTTGAAACTCACCCTTGGGACAAAAATGTGCTTTGGAATAACTTTTTTTTTTTTTTTTTACTTAATTCAAAGGATTAAAAGTTGAAGGAGAAGAAATGCCAAAGAGCAGCACAGTGGCTGTCATCCCTTGGGTGCTGGTTCCAGGGGAAGGGAATGTGTGAGAGGTGTGACATGGGCTCATCTCACAGGGCAGCAGAGCCCTCGTTGCTGACGTCTCTTTTCCTGATGGATAAAAGCACAGGCAGCTTTCAGGAAATCCATCATGCCAGAGTCTGTTTTTCCTGGGGTTCTTTAAAAGCATTTTATTTTCCCTCTCTGTTTCCAGTTCCATGCTCCTGCCAATGCTGTGCATGAAGGGCCAGGGCTGTTTTAATAGAAACACGTTTATATTGCAGTTAAATTGTTGATCTTTCTCTCTGGATGATTAGGGAAGGAAAAAAGCACAGTGCTTTGTTTGCTAAAAGCCAGGAAAGAGTATCCCCTGGCAGAAGGGTCATGCAGTGGGATTGTCAATACACTTCCATTTTTCAGGATACAGATTTCAGACAACAGCATTGTAGATGTTTATTGGCAGAAATGCATTTAATTACAGTTGCTTTTGATGGCATAAAATTTGACCATTTTATTTATTCATCAGTGAAATGCCTATGAATAGAGCCACCCTTTAAAGGAACCCATATCAGTGCACTCTGCCCATATCATGAATTAGTGAGTCCTTTAGTAATAAACTCCTTGCTGTAATAGGAAAGATCTATATTACAGTTAAAAAGAAAAAAGTATGTGCCTTTCTCATTAGCTAAAAGATCTCTGCATTATTTTTATGTAATTTGTTCATATGGGATTGCTGCAGAGCAGGGGGACCATGAACACAACAGAATTCTATGCAATATTTTCCAATCCAATTACTTAAAAGTCACTATTTTTCAATCATTTAATAGGAGAAATAGTAAGTTAGAAAAGTGCATCATTCTGGTGGTAATTCAAAGTGCAAAGCTGATAAATTGACATAAAATAGGATTGAGGGAAATATGACATATTAATGTGATGAAATAATGGAAAATCCTAACTGTGCTTGCATCCCCAACAAGCACAGCTGCCATCAGAAGTCTGTCATCTTCCATTTTAAAATTAATAATTTCCAGTGTTCTTAAAGCTTTTATGAATAAGACTGCTCCTGGCAAAAACAGGGCAGGTTAGAAAGAGGAAAAAAATCACATTTTGACCATATAGAAATTATGAGAATACACAAAAAAAAGTAATTGGGTTTGGACACTTTGCACTTGGATCCAAAATATTTTATTTCAGTTGAAATGCCGCAGTAATCTGTGCCTTCAGCAGGGTCGTGAGAGATCAGTAGCTTGGCAGTTTGCTGCAGATTGAAAGAGGAGTGTTGACATTTTTAACCTGCACATGGAGGGCACTATTTTTGCTTCATTTGTGTCTCTTGCTACAAAGGAGTTGCTGAAATTCTCTCTGATTCCCTCTTCAGCCAGTGGATGTTCTCTGTCTTTGGCCATGAGGGTGGCTGAGCTCCTCTTGGACACTCAGAAGCCAGAGGAGAAGGAGGGAAGTTGGTTCTGAGGTGGGCACTGATTTAACATTCCCTAAAACCAAGTCAGGGCTTTCCTGTGGGTGTGTGGCAGTTCTGGCCCTGCTGGGACCAGCTGGCTGTAGCCTCTTACCCCCAAATTTAACTCACGTGGATAAAACATTGGCAAAGCAGGGCTGGGTTGATTCCTGTGTTGTTCTGCCTTCCCCTTTCTGCTCTGTGAACATCAACGTTTTCTTTGTGTTGCATATACAATCAACTTTTAAGAATTCTATACAAAGGAAAGACTTTCCCCACCCCCCAGCAGTTTAAAGTCTGGTTTTAAATTGCAAGGAGAATCATTGGCATGGGGAGTACAAGATCTGAAATTCTTTTCTGATGTAACCTTTGTAATTCAGAAGGGATGTAGGAGTCCCTGTCTCCTTCACATATATTTGAGCTCTAAAATGTAGAAATAAAATTTCACCAATTTCTTCTTTCCTCCCCATCTCTTTTATAGGATATATTGACTATGCCATATATAAAGTATAGTTAATAATGGACTTTATAGCAAGAAAAGCTCTTTAAACCATGCCTAGGGACAGATTTGTCCTACATGACCAGGTCGTGGACTATACCCTACCCTATTAATATGCAAGGATAAAATGGTTTTATGCTCTGAACGTGAAATTTATCCTTTTGGAGAAGATTAGCGTTAGGCCTGTGCACTTAAGTTTTCAGAAAGCCTTAAAAACAGGTGTGTAAGTGGTGCCATCTCTGTCCTCAGGGATGATTTCCCCCCAGCCAAGTGGTACTGTGGCATATTTAATAGCAGTTATTAGTTATAAGGTCATTTTCCAGTTGAAGAAAGTCATTCATTGAACTTTATTAGTGAGTCCCTGACCAGCATCCTCTGGTACAATCCAGGACCTGCTTTTCCCGAGACCTGGGCATCCATATCCATCCCAAAATTCCTGGCTCTCTGTGAAATCTGTGCTTCTACAACTCTTGTGAATGGGAAAAAAACCCTGATGGGATTCCTGGGCTTGATTGTCATTGCTATTCACAAACATCTTCTGGCACTAAAGTGCATTAAAAGGAAAAGGCTCCTTTTTAAAAAACAGTAAGATTATTGTGTTTTGTCCTTGTCCAGCTCTTCTATAAAGGTCAATTCTGCCAGTTTCAAGCTTGCTTTACTCACAGTGGTGTTGGGAGATTTTAGCCTCGGTTCTGTTGATTTTTTATTATTAAATCTGTTGGTTTCATCACATCATTTCAGTTTCTTTGGACTTTGAACCAGCTGAGTGCAGAGAGCAGCTGAATCCTTAACCATAACAAAACAGTGCAGGATCAGTGCAGGAGAGTGAATACCCCTGTGATGTTGTGTCTTTGGCTTTCTGTGTGAATTCCAGAGATATTTGTTATACATGGTACGATCTTCATCCAAAGTGCTTTGGAAATGGAGAATCATGCCCAGCATTTCCTGCTGTTGTGGTGCCACACCTGATTTTGGCACAGTTCCTGTGTAATTCCTGGTAGTGTCACAACAGCACAGCCTCTCTCTTGACAGCAAGAACAAGAATTGTGTTCTCTTCTGTCCGTGTGGGTAATTAATGTGCATTTTTGGGAGTTGTGAAATGTGTCTCTGTGCATCATTCCAGGATGGAAAAGCCCCTCTGTGTATTTAGCATTTGTGTGCTTGGTCTTAATGGTGCAGCAGAATTGCAGCAGCCAAATTTGTGAAATCATTTGGGATGTAGGTGAGCGAGGGCTCAAAACCAATATGTATTTTAATGGGCAGAGGATGCCATTCCCCACTTGTCAGATCCATTCCCTGCTGTAAAGAGGGGATTAGCCACTGGAGAGACCAGGCTGCTGGAGATGCATGGGTTTAGCTAATGAGGACAGGGAAGATCATGCTCAGAATAATAAAAATTATCCCAAGGGTCTCTGATGTGCAAGAGCCAAGGAATTGGAAGGGAGGGGTCAAACCTTGTCTATAGGTTTGGCTTCCTGCAGGAAGTTCATATCCCAAATACTTGCACACGTGTTGTGCTCTCTCCTTTATCAATGTATAGTAAAGACGTATTTAAAACAATCACAAAACCAGCTGATGAAGTAAATTCAAGCCAAGTATGGGATTAAAGCAAGCAGCTCAGCCTTGCTCTCTCTTAGCTGAAAATTCAAGTATTTGTAGGAATGGGGTAGAAATTTTCTCTTAGGCAGCTCCTCTTGGAAGGCAAGTGTCTGTGCTTTCAAGAGAATAAATAAAACTTGGCACTTGACTTGCTCTGAAGTACAATCTTGTCTCCAAGTAACTAGGAAAAATATTTTTGCAATCAGTCTTTCAATCAGACTTCCCTGGCTTTTATTAGCTTGTGTTGGACCCTTTGTGCTGTTTTGATGTGTTATTTATATGTGGGTAGGTTATTACTAGCTTTAAAAGTGTTTCCAAAGTACCTGGGTACCTCTGGATGCTGGTACAGGTGATACAGGGGGTACTTGAGCATCCTGTGTGGAAAAGAGGAGCGTGGGGAATAAGCAAGGTCACATCTGCATTGTACTTTTCCTTTTCCTTGATCAGGGCTTCCATTTCCTGCTCACCTTCTCTAGAGAGATGGAGTTCATGGGTCATTCTTTTTTTTTTTTTTCCTGTGGGAGAAAGATTTTTATTCGAGCTTGAAATGATTTTATTTTCACTCCAGAGGCATGCCATCAAAATCCTGTATGTTGCCACATTTCCCATTAAGTCTTTAGGTTCTGCTTCCTGAAATGGACTCTTTCTCTACTTGGAAAGCTATGTGCCTTATTTCCTGATCTCTTCGTGGAGAATAATCTAAAGCACAGTGATCTGGCTTGCAGCATTCCCAGGCGCTTTGCATTGGTTTTGGGGGGGAGCAAACACTGATGGAGCATCCCAGTGTCCCAGCACTGGCAGGTGCTGGGCTCCCAGGCACATCCAGCACTGGGTGAGGAGTCTTTGTGCAATAGAAGCTCTGGCTCTGTGCCTGGCAGTGGGGTGAGCTCTCCTCCGGGGGAATTCACCCTCCTGGGGGAACAGAAAATCCCTGTGGGTCCTTTCCAGCAGTTCCTGGGGCAGCTCGCAGGGCTCCGTGTCACCCTGTGCACCCAGAGTGGGGGTCTGGGAGTGTCCCCGTGCCCTGCAGCAGTTCCCTGGTGCCATCAGTCACAGCTGGGCTCCCATTCCCACCCCAGGCCCTGGTGCTGGAGCCGTTCCAGCCGGGATTTGCTTTTGTGCAGAACAGGCTCTGCCCCCCAGCACCCCCAGCCTCCCTCCCCGAGCTCGCTCTCTGCAGCGTCAGAAGGTGAAACACACAGAGGTGGTTTCAACAATCGAGTATTTCCTATTTATGAGATTAATTTTTAACAGTTGCTGTTTTGAAGGTGAAATACACAGAGGTTGTTTGTGATTAGGGCAACAATCGAATATTTGGTATTTATATTAAGTTTTAACAGTTTCTTTTTTGTCGAGGTTTGGGGTTTTTTTTGTTGGATATAAACACAACAGGAGTATTTACATATCATTGGTTCGGGTTGGAAAAGAACTTAAAGCTCATCCTCTTCCAACCCCCTGCCATGGGCAGGGATGTCTCCCACTAGACCAGGTTGCTGTCCCCTAAATGGATGTTGGAGAAAGCTTGGGATATCCTAGAGAGGGAGCAGGTGGTGTTGGCTCGTAGTATCCATATAGTTGTGCCCCAGTTGTGTTTTCTAGAGCAATCTTTTTTTTTTTTTTTTTAAGAAAAAAAAAAGTATTTTATCTAAATGCCTAATAAATAATATTATTTAAATAGTTTTAAAAATAATTTAGAACTGAGAATAAGAAGCCTCAGTTGTGAGAGAAGAGACTTAAAATATACAGAGAGAGAAAATACCCTGAGCCTCCTAGAGCCTCTACTGAGAATTTGCTAAAGACGCAGAGCCCCTGGTCAGAGCACATTGCAATTAACTCACAAGTGTTCATTTAAAATGAGAGACTGGTTTCCTGTGATGTTCATCTTTGTTGGCATATGTTTGACTTTCTGAATTCAGAGCTGATTTCCTTCACATTCAAAAGCTGGTCAAGGAAAAAAAAAAAAATAGGCGAAAAAGAATAATCCACCTTGTGCAGCAGCAACTTTCCCTGGTGTGAGCTCTGGAAATGCACATTGTGCGTGATGCGTGGCACGGTTCAGGTCTGCTGCAGGTGGGGATGTGCAGACAGGCTTTTCCCTGGGGAGCAGCAGAGCAGCCCCAGTGCAGCAGGGAGGGATGGGCAGCTGCAGGGCACAGCAGCACTTCTGTGGCTTGGGAAGCAAATTTGCACTTTGCCTTTCGAGGGTGTCCCGCTTCGAAACAAAAACCATGCGGTGAAATTCCCGCGTCAGGTTCTTTTTCCTTCTGGTGTAGTCCAAAAAGAAACTGAAAATGAGAGTAAAGGCAGCCCTAGTGTAAGTGTTGGATCAGCTCTGCCAAACAAAAGGTTGTTCCTCTTGGAATACTCTATGCATTTCTGTGGTGAAAAGCATTTTCTCCCATTCCTTGCTGGAAATGCAGTGAGAATGTCACACATACAAATTTGGATATTGATCCCAAAGCAGATGGAGGCTGGGGAGGGGGGGATGTTTTTGGGTTTTTTTTCTTTTTTTTTTTTTTTTTTATTTTTTTCCCTTTTTTCCTTTTTTTTTTTTTTTTTTTTTTTTTTAAAAAATTAACTCTTTGCATTTGTGCAATAACTACTTGCCATGAGAATGGGCAGACCTTGGAAATGCCCCGACTACTAACACAGCACAAGATGAACTCGAACAGAAAGTGGTGTACTTTTTCCTGAGAACTTTTTTTTTTTTTTTAAATAATAAGCTCAGTTTTTACCCCAGTGTATTGTGGTGTCTTACATTTTTAGCAGTATTTTATATTTTTTCTGTAACGCACTAAGTCTTAGATGTTTTTAGAGCTTGTTTGTTATATTCACAATCACGGATTTTAAAAAAGAAAAAAGAAAAAAAAAAAAAAAATCCTCACAGAGACCCAATTGACCAAAAAAAAAAAAAAAAGTGTCATTTTTTTTGTACAAGTAGCTTTGAGAAGCCCACATTGTGTTGCTGTGACTCATCTTTTGTAACATTTTATTTCTTGGTATTTGTTTAAGCATAAAAAGTAAGAGTTTATCTGGCTGGCAGTGCAGGGCAGCGCTCCCTCGTCAGCAGACGGCATTGTTTCTGTCTTTGTTTGGTTTAGCCATAAAATGTTTGTTCTCAGCACTGTACAACGGTCCCTATATGATATGGAGAAGCAATATCACTGTATGAAACTCACACGATGTATTATTATTATTATTCACTAGCACCCTAGGTGTGATAATTGAAGTAAATATCTTTTATACAAACACAATTCCGCGTGGGCTGTCTTTTATTGAGGTGAGACCTGAGTCCAAGCAGCAAACATTTACATTGTGCTTCTGGTTTTGGTGATGCCCAGAGGGATCACAGGGATGGTTTGGTGGGATTTGTGTTTGGCCAGGGGAAGAAACTTGACTTTTTTACTGTGTATCAGTTCCTATGGGGAGTGGGTGTCTGTGTTTCCCGTATCTTAAATATTGAACTGTTAGATGTTCAGAATGTTCAGATGAAATCCAAGTGTGGCTATTCCTGCTGCAGTCACCCTGCTTCACAGACAGAAAATATCTATTTGGGCTCTGAGACTGCCAAGGGGGATTGTTTTGAGCACCACAGCAACATATCAGCTAATTAAAAAGAAAAAAAAAAAATAAATGCCAGTTACCTGAGGTCAAAAATGCTTTAGATTCAGAAATGAAAATGTCAAAGAATTTTCCCAGATATTTGGTTCACTGTTTATTTTTACAGGTCCTTTATAGGAAAATAAATTCCTCATTTAGTGCCTTATGGGATGTTCCTATAAATACCCTCAGTATTTACAGAGTGAGGAGCTTGGTAAGGAACAGATGCTGTAATAACCTGTCAGTGGGATTATGTTTTCAAAAGCAATGGAATAAATAATTTTTTGGATGCTGAGGGTGTCAGGTAGAGGCTGTGTGTGAGTGTCTGTGCTTACCTGGGTGCTCTGTTTTCCCTGGTGTGATTGTGTCTGGTTTTTTTGTGAATTGAAGGTTATTTTGGGGGATCTACCTTGGTTTTTCCCCCATCTCCTGCAATAGATCCCTGACACATTTCTCCCCCCAGGCTCTCTGAGCCCCCTCCCAGGAGTTTCCTGTGGAACAGGAGTTTTGGAGGGCAAGGATGGATGTTTGCTGTGGAGCCAGGCTGGGATTTCCCACCCCAGTGAGGGTGGCACTTGGTCAGCTCCATGTCGGTGTCCAGTGTGTGTCTTTGCCATCTTTAGTTCTGCAGTTGTGGGGATATTCTCTTCAAAATGTATTTAAAATGCTACTGAATGCCTTCATTTCATGACAAATATCCATTTTCTCATTTTGAAGCATCTGGCAAGTTGTTCCACAGGATGGAAAGGTTCATGATTTAACAGTTTTTATTTTTTCCCCTTCTCTCTAATAACTACTCCAACTGTTGATTGCTATAAATGCTATTATTGTGTATAATTTGACCCTAATTTTTTTAAAACTTGATGCTAAACAGCTAGAGTTTTAAAATGCCATGCCTCAGGTAGGTTAATCTGTGTATTTGTAACCTGCACTTTTCTTCAGGTGGTATCAGCATGAAACTCCTAAAATGCCACACGTGGTCATAAGCAAAAGATGTGTTAAACTTGAGAAAGCACTGGCCTGGAGAAGGCTCACAGAAGCTCAAAAGTTTGCATCCTGGGATAAAGCCAGGCTGCTCTCTCAAGCCTAAATATCAAAATATTAATTCTGGGAAGTTAGGAAGTCAAGCCAAACCACAAGGAAGCATCTGAGAGGTCAAGAGCAGATATTTATGGCCTTCCATGGAGATAGTTGGATCTCCCACCATAACTTTATTGGGGCAGCCCCTCAAAAGGATGTCAAAATTCTCTCTTTTTGGAAAAATTGTACACTGTGTGTTCCCATAGACCTTTACTGGTTTGAACTGGGACATCACTGTGAGTTCCTGCTGGGTGGATGAGGTTTGCATAGGAAATATTAGATGGATTTTCTGGATTGATGGGAGAAGTCCTTGTTTGTGGCATCCTTGGGTGCAGGAGGAAGTTCACACCTCAGTGCCAAGGTCCTGGCTCTGCCTCTGCTCCACCATCAGTGAGAGCCAGTTTGACTTGCAGTGGGAAAAGGGATATCTTTTCACATGGCATCATGTTCCCACCAGGTAAGAAGCTGTGAGTGGCTGACATGATGCTTCTGAGCCCCACTTCTTTCCATTTGGAAATACTGTCACTTTCTCCTCAGTATTTCTGTTTTAATGGAAGCGGTGAAGGAATTGTGTACTTGCCAACAGAGGGCTTCAGAAAACATGATTTGATTACAGCACAGCATTTTATTTTCTTTTTGCTCCAAGCTATGGGAAACTGATAAGAAAATTCAAACTGTTTTCTTGAACTCTTCCAAGTTACCCATGTAATTATCTTAGTACCCTTGGAAATAATCCCTTCTTGTATGAAATCTCTCTCCTTACAGGGCGAATTTATTAAGCAGTGCTGGGTTTCTTTACTGGGGGCTGTTTATTTTGGAGTGGCTGGGCCAGGAGGAAGGGGAAGGAAGGAGAAATCCTTCAAACCTTCCTTTCCCAGCAGGCCCTCAAAATGTGAAAAGAAAGGGAGAAAAGCAGGGGAGGGAGAAGAAATCTCACCTGCACCTCTTCTGGCAGCAACTGGGAGAGAAACCCAGAGAGGTGGGAGAGAACCCCCAGAGAAACATGGAATGGTTTGGGTTGGAAGGGACCTTTAAAGGACACCTTCCACTGTCCCAGGCTGCTCCAAGCTCCATCCAGCCTGGCCTGGGACACTTCCAGGGATCCAGGGGCAGCCACAGCTGCTCTGGGCAGCCTCTGCCAAGACCTGCCCACCCTCATAATAAAAAAACCAACTTCCTTAGAATTCACCTGAATCAGCCCTCTTTTAGTTGAAAACCATCCCCCCTTGTCCTGTTGTGCTACAGTTTGGTGGCTCCTTCTCTCTTCCCCAAGGCCATTTCCCAAGCTGGCCCTGAGGAGAGGGCAGCAGGAACTCAGAGAATGATGCTGATGTTGGAATGAGCATTATTTTTATATATTATTTTGCAGCTGGGGCTTTTCCTTCTGCTTCCTTTGTCACTTGGGCAGATTAAGTCTCAGATGTTCTCAGGGTGTTGGACACGCTCTGCTCTCTACCTGTCCCTGTTTTCTCTTGTCTCTTTGGCAGCACATGGAAACAGAGCAGGGCAGGGCTGTTCTTGCTGCCCTCACTGGTGCCACTGCCATCCCCTGCTGCCCGGGACTGCTCCTCTTGTGTGTCATCCCTGAAATGTTCTTGATGGCTTCTCTTCCAACTCTGTATCTGCAGAGAAAACTCATCTCTGCACTCCTGGAGTTTTCCCAGGCTTGATAGCTGTACCTGGAGACCAGGAAGATCATGCTAGAACTAAGAGATGGCTTTTAGAGTTATCATTCCTTTCTTTGGCTTTTCTGCCCTTTCAGAAGCCCTGCAGAGGGTCTGATCAGAGAATGCCCTTGTGGCAGGTACAGATGGACCAAGACAGCCCAGAAGCAGCATTGCAGGCTGAGATGATTCCCAGACTATTAATCCAGGCATTCTGGCTACTCAGGAACTCTTGGAGCTGACTGACCTTTCCTCCCTCCCTGGAGATTTCTACAAAAGAGGCTTTAAAATGTCCCAAAAGCTCAATTCCTTTGTGCTTGTGCTGTATTGGCGAGATCTCTGGAGCACTTGATCTTTATTTACATTTGGGACAGTTTTGGAACAGCACAGTCCCTTCTAATGACACTGATTTTTCATTGCCTCACAGGAGGTGAGATGCTCAGCTGGGCTTTTGCACTGAAACCTGCTCTTCAGCCTTTACTTCTGAGCAGCTTTGCACCTCAGAGCCCACAGACAGGGCTCTGGTGACTTGTAGAAAGAAATATTCCATCATTCCCTGCCTCCATGCCCTGTTTCTCAGCCTGCTGACAGCTCCCAGCAGTGGTGGCCCCAAGGAAAAGGGTTTGCATGAAGTTGAGGTGGATTGAGTGCCTCCCACACACTCTGGGCCAGGCAGAAATGTTCTCCCTCACCATGGAAAGGTCAAGGACCATCGAGCTGTGCGATGGTGAAAGGCCTTTGACAACCTTCCTGTTGCAGGAAGGGTTTTGGCTCAGCTCTTTCTGCCTTGGCATCTTCACAGACCAAAAAAAAAGGCAGAGAAAATCATCTTGTGCATGCAGGGCTGGATCTGCAGCGCTGGGATCGTGTGCTCCTCACCCCTGCAGCTACAACACGGGGTCAAGGTGGAGTCATCTCCTGCTGATTCTCCTGGAAGAGGAGCAGACTTCGGGCAATAACAGCCTTTTCCAGACTTCCTTAAAAGCCAAATGCCAAGTGTTTCAAGAGCCTGAAATTGGGCCTGAGTTTATGTGTGAGCCTTGGGAGCTCTGGCATCGGGTAGAGCCGGAGGTAAGATTTTGTTGGCTTGAAAAGGCTCCTGGAGAGCGATGCCAGGAAGTCTTGGCATGTTTTTTTCATGGGGAAGAGCAATGATTTCAAGTCAGATATAACTGTCCAGTCATGAACTGGAGTGGTCCGGCATGGGGAAAGGTGAAAGAGCTGGAAAAATCAAAGGGTCTGTGGCAGACCCAGTTTCCTGCTTCTTCCTTTGGCTCCTGCTCCTGGCCCTGGCACTCTCAGACACCCCTGTTTGTGATGGGTGAGTCTCCAGCTTTGAGCCTTTGTGCCAAGGCACTCCAAGATTTACTTATCTTACCATCATCTTCCTTCCAGTCAATAAAATAGATTTCAAAGCTTTGAAGTAGTGGCTTTCAATGCACTTCAGTTGACTTTTCAAAGAGAGCGTGCCACATCACTTCTCAGCTTGTTTTCTTTTTATTTTTCTTTTCCTTTTTTTTTTTACAGTTATGTAAATTCAGGGAGGCCAGACAGTAAATGAAGGGAGATTAAAAAGCTCCACGAGGCAAATCAGGGTGTGAACTTGCAGAGCATCAGCTAATTTGCCACAACTGCCCATGTGTGTGCTCCTACCCCTATCCCTTCAGCTGCACCACTCACCTCTCATTTCCTGGGGGCTCTGAAGATCCACATGAGCAGTTAGCCTGGTCCCATGGAAGAGCAGCAAGTTACAGCCTATCTCACCCCAAGGTGATTTATTCATCTGTCTGTATCCTCAGTAATCAAGCCACCATCTTATGGAAAGATTGCCTCTCATTTATTTATGTCTGGCCTTATAACTTCAAACTAAGTTGCTAGTATGTCTTAATTTTCTCCATCTGTGGAAACAG